TGATGGAATGGTGAGGCCCTGCCTCAACCTCTGCCCCAACGACAGACAGGGACCGAACTGCAATGCCCCGGTCAAAATTGATCGAACCACAACCACAACCGGCTCCACTAGGGACCTCAACTGCTCAGGCAGTGCCTCCCTCAATGGCGGAACAAGGGAGCAACCAGCCGACCTCTTCCATGCAGATGGAAGGGGCACAGTCTATAAGAAAACTAGGGACACGCACGCCCTCATGCAGGCCCTGGCCGCCTCAGGACAGGCCACTTTGAACGACCCTCTTGCCCTGCAAGCCATTGGCCTCATGAAGGCCCACTTTATTCAAAAACTACATGACCAATCAAAAAATACATTGAAAAGGACGGTTTCATTTACCCGCACGCCATCTTCCTGCCACAAGCAGTGGCAAACTGTAACATGATATATGCACAGAATGCGGTGCAATTCGTGTTCCCCCAGTCCATGGCGACTATCCCAACTAACGAAAAACTCAGATGGGTAAATGGGAGATTGCGATCCGTGAAAACTAGTAACCAGGCAGTCATGGAGCACTTTCTGATTGAAACAGCTGCCCGGGGAACGGTGACGGTAACCACAATCTACCCGCTCGATAGAGCAAATCTTCTCAAGATGCCGCTCCCTTGTTACAAAGGCCACACTGTGGCAATCAAGCAATGGGAGCCGCCCACGCCATTCACAACCGATCAGAAAAGAGAGCAGCTAATGAGGAACCACTTCTGGGTGGAATTCCGTTTCGCCCCGTTGAGTGTGCAAGGAGCGATTTTGGCGGACCTGCAACAAATAGCCCCGATTCTCGGATACATCAACGATGCACCCTAGTTCCTCCCTAAAAGGGACGACACGCTTTTGGTAGCAGTGGACTGGGACCCCGCAACCGGATTTCCAGTCAGCGGTCAGTGGTGCTTCTCACAAGAGGACAAGACTTTTGCAGTACAGGTGAATCATCCTCAAGCCCCCTGGTGCTATGCGTGCAGAGGCAGGGGCCATCTCTCTACTGACCTCCTCTGCCCTTGTATACAGGGCAAGACGATGAAAGGCCTGGTCACGCCTCACCCAGAAGGACCGGGACGCTGGATCCTGGAAGACCCGTCCTTCGAAGGCTGGGTGTTCCACCGAACTTCAAATAAACTACCCGGGAGCTGGAAATGGGAAGGACAGGGGCGCCCTCCCAGATCCCCGGCCAACACCACTACTTTACGCCAAGGGGAGAGAGCACCCAGGGGGACCACAGATACCAGAAACACCAAGGTCATCGCATCTGCAACTGCGCCCACAACCACTGTGGTCCCCGGTACCGACACCCCAGTTCTGCCGGCGACTCACCCAGCCGTTGCAGAGGGCCAACAGACCCAGGCACCTAAACAGAACATCACGACTGTTCCTCCCCAACAAGGGACAACATCGGGAGAAGGCAGCCATCACAATCCGGCCTTCACCTGGCAGAACACGCAGGGGCAACAGGACCAGGACTAGGGAACACACCAACTGCAACGACAAGGGGCCCGTACAACCAAGAACGGGGAAAAGGCAGAATCTAGAATCACAGTCCTCACCAAATGGAAAGAAAAGGTAACACAAATGCTGGTCCCTGGAATTCAACCAAAACCGTGGGCTGGGGAATTACAGACCCCCAGCCCCAATGGACTTCCCACCTTGCACCACACAACACAGCAGGGGGAATGCTCGACACAGCAGGGGGAATCCTCAAGGTCCCAACGCGGTGACCGCACCACCTGTCCTACGGAAATGGAAGGGGTGGAGAAGGTGACGGAAGATGCCACGGGCCAACTCCCGATGGATCAATCTGGGCCCCCCCCTTCGGGGGTCCCAGACACAGAGCAACAGTTTGCTCCAGTACAGTACAGTCAACAGAAGGGGCTGATCCCCCCCCACAACTCGAGCACTCTCCTCACCCTCCAGACCACATGTTTCCACACCCGGCTGTTCTTGCCGAGGCCATGAACGGGCCAATAACAGTATTGCAAACCCAGGTCAAACAGCAATGGACGACATAGCAAACTCGCAGTGACACCATTACCCCGGATATGGCTGCGTTGCTACAGTCTCAAAACAACTACTTGATGCAAGAGCAGACAGCGATCACACACAGCCTCAGGTCAGAGCTGCAGCAGCCACAGGGCTTCATCTATCAACAGCAAGCACCAATAACTCCTACTTTGGGACGACTAACGGATGAGCCCTCCCTGGTTGGGAGAGCGGGGGAAAACCACAACAACAATGAGGCGGCCCCCCCGGATCCTGGCATCGAAATAGACATGACAAATACTAAGGGGGGAGCCCTGACAGATGCATAGTCTGACAACAGTGCACGAGAATACAGTCAGCCCGGTGAAATGAGTGAAATGACGGAACCTGCCCATACTGATGCACGGCAGCCACAAAAGTCGTCAAAGAACAGACGGGTTAGAGCCAGACTGAAAGCGGTCACAGATGCCATCCTCATGGGACTTCTTAGGTCAACCACACAAGGGGACCCCACTCATATCCCCCCTCTGCATTGGGAGAACATAAAAAGAGCATTCATGAGCTCAAACACGGTCACCCGCTACTTGGACAGTGCTACTGTTACATGCTGAAAGCCTACACACGGGCCCCTCACGGGACCCGAGGTTGGAATAGGGCCCCCAGGTCGCGTCACCGCAACCTGAAGGCCCTATGGCATTCTTACTTGGGCCTGCATCAGAAAAACGCCAGCTTTAGATTATTTTTATATTCTTTTATTTATWTATTTGCTGCTGTTTTTYTAACGGTTRTACTGTTGTCCGTTTTGTGGCCAGGTRCACGTTTTAGGACYAGGGCCAGATTCAGGCCCAGAGGCTGAGCTCCTAAAAACGTTTGGACCTTTTCTTTTGTTTTCGAACAGATTGCTACCTGTTCGGACCCAGGCCRACGTTGAGGCCGGATACGTCCGCACAGGACCGGTTCGAAGTCAGGTACCAGGAAACTGAATCCTGGACAGGGCCTGGACGTCCGGTAGGGACCCAGGCAGGCCGTTTTAGGCCAAGGGCTGAACCAGTTTCAAAGTCTGCGATCTGGACCATGGATCGGATTTCGATCTGCACGGCCCAGAACGCAGGCCGTGGGTTTTCAGTCCTGGCCCAGCGCTACATAAGCTGGGCCGTTGCCCAGTTCGTGGACAGAAGGTACCAGGAGAAATCCAGCGTTATGCTGGTTCAGGAACTTGGCTGCTGCGCTATTTTGGAGACTCCCTGCTGCGCTATTTCGAGACTGCAGCTGCGCTGCTCATCGGCCATGAGGCACAGCGCTGGAGGAGTCCAGCGCCGAGGAGGGTAGTGGAGTTAGAGAG